TACTGGCTAGATGCATGTTCCTAAAAAGAGGCGGGAAAACAGAGATGTTGCAGCTGCCCTTGTTTGGGAGGTGAGAAACTGCTACAGTCCTTCACGTTCAGTTTCGTTCAACTTTAGGCTCTCCAAAGAGGTACAAAAGAATCAGTCTAAGCCAGCCAGAGCCACTCAGACCCTACTTATTGTAATGTTAAACTCTCTACCCTAGAGGCATATTTTTGCAAAGTTTTAATTTTTATTTATATGTATATGGTATGTGCTTGTGAGTACAGTGCCAATCAGGACTTACAGGTGGTTGCACCATCCTGAAGTGAGAGTGCTGCAACCCCAACCCTTTACTCTGAGGTAACATCTGTCTTTGATATTGAGATGTTTCTTGTATGCAGCAGAAGGATGGGTTCTGTCTTCCTATCCATTCTGCTAGTCTGTGTCTTTTTATAGGCAAGTTGAGGCCGTTGACATTGAGGGATATCAATGACCATTGATTGATGATTCTTGTTTGTGCTTGATTTATTGGTAGTGAAGTTATTTTGTGTAGTTTCTCCTCCCTTTTTCTTTTGGTGTTTGGTAAAGTGGGATTATCTATTGCCTGTGTCTTTGTGAGTGTAATTATCTTTGTTGGGTCTAGGTTTTCCTTCTAGCACTTTCTGTAGAGCTGGATTCATGGACACGTATTGTTTAAATCTGGCTTTGTCATGGAATATTTTTTCTCCATCTATGGTAATTGAAAGCTTTGCTGGATATAGTAGTCTGGGCTGACATCCTTGTTCCCTTAGCGTTTGTAGGACATGTGTCCAGGATCTTCTGGCTTTCATCGTTTCCATTGAGAAGTCAGGTGTAATTCGGATAGGTCTGCCTTTATATGTTACTTGGCCTTCTTCTTTAGCTGCTCTTAATATTTTCTCTTTATTCTGTAGGTTTAATGTTTTGATTATTATATGGCGAGGTGACTTCTTTTTCTGGTCCAGCCTACTTGGTTTTCTGTAAGATTCTTGTATTTTCATAGACAAATGCTTCTTTAGGTAAGGGAAGTTTTCTTCTATGATTTTGTTGAATATATTTTCTGTACCTTTGAGCTGTATTTCTTTGCCTTCTTCTATACCTATTATTCTCAGGTTTGGCTTCTTCATGGTGTCCCATATTTCCTGGATAGTTTGTGTTAGTATTTGTTGGTTTTGAGATTTTCTTTGGTTGATGACTGTATATCTTCTAATGAGTTTTCAACACCCAACATTCTCTCTTCTATCGCTTGTATTCTATTGGTGATACTTGCATCTGTAGTTCCTTATCCTTTACCCAGCTTTTCTATTTCCAGCATCCCCTTGTTCTGTTTTATTATTTCTATTTCAGTTTTCAATCCTTCAACTGTTTGAGTTGTTTCCTTCATTTGTTTTTTTCTTGATACTCTTTAGATTCTTTGAGAGATTTATTTCTTGAATTTTTCCCCCACTTCATGGATTTGTTTGTTTTTTCTTCTATTTCTTTAAGGGATTTCCTCATTTCCTCTTTGAGGTTCTCTATCATCTTCATAAAATAATTTTTAAGGTCTGTCTTCTCTGCTTCATCTATGAGATTGCCGGAGGTTGGGGTCTGGAAGGGCTGATGCTTTTCCTGAAGCTGGGATTGCCAGAGTTTGGGGCCTGGGAGGGCTGAAGTCTTTCCTGTGTGGGCGGGTCTTTATCATGAAGGGGTGCTGGATCATAAAATCAGGAACAAGCAATAAGATAACAAAGTGGCAGGATACAAGATCAACTCAAGAAAATTAGTAGCCCTACTATATACAAATGATAAAAGGGCTGAGAAAGAAATCAGAGAAACATCACCTTTTACAATTGCCACAAACAACATAAAATACCTGGGGGTAACGCTAACCAAACAAGTGAAAGACCTGTATCGAAAGAACTTTGAGTCTTTAAAGAAAGAAATTAAAGAAGACACAAGAAAATGGAAAGATCTCCCATGCTCTTGGATAGGTCGGTTCAATGTAGTAAAAATGGCAATCCTGCCAAAAGCAATCTACATATTCAATGCAATCCCACCAAAATCCCAGCAATCCCAGCACAATTCTTCACAGACCTTGAAAGAACAATTGTCAACTTTATATAGAAAAACAAAAAACCCAGGATAGCCAAGACAACCATGTTCAACAAAGCAACATCTGGAGGCATCGCTATCCCTGACTTCAAACTCTATTATAAAGCTATAGTCCTGAAAACAGCTTGGTATTGGCACAAAAATAGACAGGTAGACCAACAGAACTGAATTGAACACCCTGAGATTAATCCACAAATCTATGAACAGCTGATTTTCGAAAAAGAAGCTAAAATTATACAATGGAAAAAAGATAGCATCTTCACCAAACGGTGCTGTCATAACCGGATATTGGCATCTAGAAGACTGCAGATAGATCCATGTCTATTGCCATGCACAAAACTTAAGTCCAAATGGATCAAAGACCTCAACATAAATCCACCCACACTGAACCTGTTAGAAGAGCAAGTGGGAGGTACCCTTGAACCAATTGATACAGGAGACACCTTCCTCAACATTAACACCAGAAGCACAAACACTGAGATCGACAATTAATAAATGGGACCTCCTGAAACTGAGAAGCTTCTGTAAGGCAAAAGACACAGTTAGCAAGACAAAAAGGCACCTGACAGATTGGGAAAAGATATGTACTAACCCCACATCTGATCCCCAAAATTTACAAAGAACACAATAAGTCTCCAAAACACCAAAGGATCCAATTAAAAAGTGGGGGTCTGAACTAAATAGAGAATTCTCAATAGAAGAGTATAAAATGGCTGAGAGACACTTGAGAAAGTGCTCAACATCCCTAGCCATCAGGGAAATTCAAATCAAAGCAACTCTGAGATATCATCTTACTCCTATCAGGATGGCTAAAATAAAAAACACCAATGACAGTTTGTGCTGGAAAGGATGTGGAGAAAGGGGAACACTCCTCCACTGCTGGTGGGAGTGCCAACTCGTACAGCCACTATGGATATCAGTATGGCAGTTCCTCAGGAAAATGTGACTCAGTATACCACAAGACCCAGCAATTCCACTCTTAGACATATACCCAAAAGATGCCCATTCATACAACAAGGATGTCTGTTCCACTATGTTCATAGCAGCATTATATGTAATAGATAGATCCTGGAAGCAACCTAGATGCCCCACAACTGAAGAGTGGATAGAGAAAATGTCTTACATTTACACAATGAAGTACTACTCAGCGGAGAAAAACAATGGAATCTTGAAATTTGCAGGCAAATGGATGGCACTAGAGGAAACCATCCTGAGTGAGGTAACCTAGTCACAAAAAGACAAACATGGTATGTACTCACTCATATATGGATTTTAGATATGGATCAGGGGAGTGTCAGCCTACAATCCCAGTGACAGTGAGTCTGGGAAACAGGTTCCCAAGAGAGATGCATGATACCCCAGAGAAGTGGAATGAGGCAAGATCTCCTGAGCAGATTGGGAACATTGGGAGAGAGGAGAGGGATCTAGGAAAGGGAGGGAGATAAGAGGACATGAGAAGAAGGTACGGGGGAGCAGGAAGGTTGAGTCGAGGTAAGAACAGAAGAGAGCAGGATGAGCGATACCTTAATAGATTGAGTCATCATAGGAATGAGGAGAGAGTTAACACTAGTGAATCTCCAGAGATCTACAAGGATAACACCAACTGGCAAACTAAGCAATAGTGGAGAGAGTACATTTATAGCTCCTCCCTGATGATAAGGTTGATGGCTACCTTATATGCCATCCTAGAACCTTTATCCAGTGACTTATGGAAGCAGAGACAGATACCCACAGCTAAACACTGAATTGAGCTCCTGGAACCCAGTGACAGAGATGGAGGAGTAATGAGCAAATGGGTCAAGACCATGATGGTGAAACCCACAAAGATAGCTGACCAGATAAGGGAGAGCTCTTGAATCCCAGACTGATGGCTGAGAGGCCAACAGGGGACTGATCCAGACTCCATGAATGTAGTCTCAGTGAGGAGGCCACAGAAATCACTGGGGCCTTGGGTAGTAGATCAGTGTTTACCATGGTATATGAATAATATTTGGGAGCCCATTCCAAATAGAGGGATGCTCTCTCAGCCTGGACACATGGGGAAGGGCCTAGGTCCTGCCCTGGATGAAATGACAGACTTTGGAGATCCCCCCGAGGGCCTCACCCTTCCTGGAGAATGATGTGGGGATTGAGTGAGGGGCTTGGGGGGGCTGGTGGAGGGACAAGGAAGGAGGGCTGGGAGAGGGAGCCAGGATTGACATGTGAAGCATTCATGTTTCTAATTTAAATAAATACATATATTGAGGGAAAAAAGAAATAAAATATAATAAAAATTCACTCAGGGTTCTAAAATTTAGCCATTCACTATGTAATTTACTGCATATACATGATAATCCCATAAAATCAGAATGGAGTTAAAATGTCCTACACAAAGAGAGGTTATAGCTGTCTTGATTAATACAGCACACAGCTTTCCTAACCTATGATGCCCCACAAGAAGAGTGAAGTGCTGACCCATAGCAATGTAAAAACGCAACACAATTATGTACAGTACACAAAACTGACAGTGGTTAGCAAACAATCATGGTACCTATTTATTTGCTGTTTTTATCCTTATATTAAAGTGTATTCCTTCTACTTATCACCCCATCTTCACTGTCTCCATTGCGCTAAGGAGCCAGGTCAAGAGACTGATTTTGACCATGCTGGTGAAAATGTGATGTTTACACAATAACTAATTGCCTAAAGATGTAATTCTCAGGACATACATTTTATTACTTGATGAAATACCATGCAGGGGGAGAGGGAGAGAGGGGGAGAAGGGGAGGGCAGGAGGGAGGATCAGTGATCATTTCAAAACATTTACTTCCCATCATTACTTGGGAATAATTCTCCTAATTTTGATTTGAAATAGAATAAAAGACTTTTTTGAAAGTCCACATAAGGAATAACCAAAATGAAACAACATATTTGGAGTGAGAATCCTTTAATTATATTTATTTCCAGAGAACAATAAATACAGAAATTATAAGCAATGTATGTAACAATAATATTTTCCTAGATAGACAGCACCTACTTTTATACAACTTAACAAGCAAACACCTTTATTACCCCAGGAATTACCACTGCAAAAAGCTATACAACAGAAATTATCATTGAAATAAAAACTATTCATTTTTGACCCTAAGGACTGAGGTTCTCACTCCAGTGGTCCATCGGAGGTGCAGAAAAGCTGAAGAGGCCAGCTCAGCTCCGGGCGGCAGCAGTCTGAGGCTGCTCTGACTGGAGTTGTTTGCCAAGATATTCCCTAGAAAACAAGTACATGGTAGTATGACAAATTAGAACTTCAATACACAGAATCACTGTCAAGACTCAAAACTTACTAATGAAATAACCCCTGGAACATATACTTTCCCAGCTTTCAAAAGCTTATGTGCTACAGGAATGCTACCTATTTTCACATACAAAAAAGTTATGGTCCACACAGAAAGTTCTTCACAAAATGTCATTGGGACAGTAGACATCCCTGCTTACATGAAGAGCTTACTACTGCATCTGCAATCTGAGTTTAGCAAAAAACCTATGATTCCAAGGGGCTTCATACAGGAAAATAGTGTTAGAAAACATAGACATGTATAGCCTGGAGTGAACACAGGAACAATGAAAATAAAACCTGACAATAACATCAAGAATCAGAACTCTTAACAGGATCGAACTCCACTATGCATTAGTGCAGCCTTAAACCTACACAAAGACCAGAGAATTAAATCCACAGCTATCACAGGGGCTAAGGAACAGTTTTCTCTTTCTACAGATGGGACAAGTGACTTAGACTGATGGTCTCCAAACTGTTTAGATCCTTTAGGAATCTAACAGTTTGGACATGGAGGTACAAGCCTACAATCATAGCACTCAGTAAGCTGAAGCAGAAAGAAAGACTGAGTTCAAAACCTGCTTGAACAACATAAGTCATTTTTAGGTAGTATGAAGGAAAAGAAATTGAACATGTACCTACAATATGTGTATAGCTTAAAATCATACACAGAAACCACTGAGACAGAGTTGTTGGTCTGTTCTTTACCCCCCACAAAAACTGCCCCCAACCTTTTTTTATAATCAACTAATAAGGAAAAGAAATTATTTTCAAAGACCCCGTAGATTTATATTTCCACCAGTAAAAAAGAAAAGTTTGAGTTTAGAATCAGGAGATGACTTTGCACTTGAACTACCTCCCACCACAATCATGAGACTAGAGGGTACATCTTTCTGCAAGGACTAAAGCAGACACTGTGAGGCACATGGCCCAGCCAGGGAGTCCAGGGTCAGGATCAGAGACATCCTCCCCACTTTCTACTGCATCAATTGGTTACTCAATTACTTATTTTGTGAGCACCACCTGGAAACAATCTTTGGGTACCATATAAAAGTGCTCTGTTGGGATGCTAAAGAATGTATTATTCTTATCGTCAAAGAACTACTCTGACATAATGCTTACAATGAAGTTATTATTTCCAACAAAGAATAAGTAATGTCTAATGTACATAAAGGCCGACTCACAGACATGACTTTGTAAGACCTTTTGCTGAGGTCTTCACAATCACAAGTGCCATTGCAATTTCGATGATCCTATAATAATGTCCACCAAGGTCAGAGGGAAGGTACATCCTCTGATGAACAGTGTGGAGTCTATTGTAACTGGTACATTCAAGGAACAATGTCATAAAGGTATGAATAGTCTTTCATTTATTTGCACAGAAGTCTTCTCTGGTTGATACAAAACACCCTATATGGAAGCTGTTGGATCATTTTGGGAGCGGCACCTTCCTGAGCGACACTGGTAGTGCAATATTAGGCTCAATAATTCTCAAGTGACCTTCTGTCTGCTTTTGATCTCTTCAGTCATGTAAGCTTAGCTCCTGATACGACATGAAAGAAGGGAGCTGCAGCAGTAGACGTACTGTAATATTCTCTACAGTAGCCAGGTAATGGCCCAGAAGTGGCAAAAACAACTAAGAAAAGCAGAAGTAAACAGAAGGCAAGAGAGGCTTGAGCACTGAAGCTAAAGAACAGAAGGCTGTTAAGAGTGAAGGACAAGGAACTAAAGGCCCTGCCTGCTTCAAGAATTCTAAAGACTGCCTGGCCATAAAGGTCAAGGATCTATGACACCTGTGGCCCAGGAAGTGGGCTAGGGACTCTCACTTCTCTGACTGCACAAGATTTTAACACCACCATGGGGCTAAAGGTCCCACAGCCTAGTTCAAAGCTGTAAGCATGAGGTGTCCTGTGCTGTTGCTTGCAGCTATCTGCGATTGCCACCAACTGCTGCCAGAAACAAAGGATGACAAAAGCTTCTCCTCACCTGCCCCCAATTCCCATGTGGGGAGAGTAAAGGAGCCCAGTCAGCTGACTGTGACAAAGTGAGAGTACTGAAGTATAGCAAAGGCGAATTGTTCTGACAAACTCACACACAGCTTTCTCTTTGCTCCTTTCCTGTGTCCATATGGCGTCAGGCACAGACTTGGATGAGAAAGGTGTTCTGTCCCTACTTCTCTCATTTGTTCAAACATATGAAGTGCCTAAGAATCATTCACTGGGTTCATGACCTGGAAGTATGACACAGAGGTCAACTCCCTGAACACGGTGGTGCATACATTTAATCCCAGTACTTGAGAAGCAGAAACAGGAAGATCTTCAAGCATCTAAGGCAAGTCTTGTCTGTATATAGTTACACGCCAGCAAAGCTAGAGAGTAAAACCCTTTCTCAAAAGAAAAATAAATCTATCAATGTTCCCTTTCCTGTCTCCTGAGTTTTTGTTGTTCAGGATTTGGGGAGGATTGGAACATGGCAGGATCTCACGAAGGCATCTGAGCCTCTTGAGCAATACCTTCTACCCACACCCGTAAAAGAAAATGCTAATATGACTTCCCATGAGGGTGTCCAGCAGGTTGTTCATAGTTACTCTAATTCAAGAGAGCCATGCGCAACCCAGAGGAAACAAACTCAACACAATACAACTTATGCTCCATAAGACTTTATATCAGATAAGAAATACTGGAAACTTTTTGTTGTTGTTGCTCCTATAAGGCTGTGATTAACCATGGTGAGATGAGCTACTGGGGTTCTACTTTTGGAGCTTCAAGAAGCCCAGGTCATATGCCTTCACTATGTCACAATTATGTGTCATACCTTCACAGTATACCTAGCTGCTTAAAGGGATATTATTTTAAATAAAAAACAACAAATTTGAAGATACTATGACAGTTTTTAAAATGGATTCGAAATTTTAAAATATTTTTATTTTTCAGAGTATCATACAATGTATTTTGATCATATTCACCCTCCTACTCCTCCCCCAACTCCTCCCAGACCCACCTTTGTCTCACCACTCCCCCAACTTCCTGTTCTGTTTTCTTCAATAACCCATTGAGTCCAAGATGTGCTGCCTATATACTCCCAGGTTGGGGGGGGGCAGATCTGACCAGAGAGGGTGGTTGACCTACTAGGGCGCATATCCTGAAAAGATCCCAACACTACAGAAGCCATCGACTGGCCGTGGTTTCTCAGTTGGGGTGGAGGGTCAAGGTTCATGAAGAGCCTCACTCTGCCACCACATGCCACAACGTCGACTAGCAAGGAACAGTGTCTTCTGAAGACAACAGGAGCAGTGGCTGCTTCCACAAGAAACTTTCTAAATACAATTTTTAATTTTTAATTACAAGTATGTCCTCCCACCATACGTGCTGGAAACTGAACTTGAGTCCTCTCTGAGGGCAGCACATATTCTTGACTGTTCAGCTGTTCAGCCTGCTATGACAGTTTTGAACACACTAATTTCACCTACATAACTTGAAACACACAGAAACCTCAGCTACACAATTTAATGCCAGGGAAATAAAATTTTCTCTATAACTGAGCCATAATTATGTACTCCTCACCATTTACCTATCCTGTTTGGGGAATGAAGTTGAAATAAATATGTTAATAAAATGTTCTTCTCCGGGTGTATAAAAGGAAATTTTGGCTTAGACAACAATCTTTATAGATTGCTGTAATGCAGGTATTTTTAGTAAAAAGAAAAAATAAATTTAAAATGTTTTATATAGTCTTTTTATTGCTAGATTGCTATAAGTTAATCATAAATTGCATTTTTCTCAAGCTTTTATAATGATTTTTGTTTGTTTGTTTAGACAGAGTGCCATAACCTTACCTGTCCTCAGATTTGCTATGTAGACCAGGCTAACATCAAACTCAGAGATTTACCTGTTTCTTCCTCCTGCCCCCCTCAAAAAGACGTGCACTATAATGATGTTTTTCTTTATGTTTGTGGGTGTTTTGCCTATATGTAAGTCTGTATACCACACGTGTGCCTGGTGCCTGTGGAGGCCAGAAGAAGTTGTTGGATCCCTTGGAACTTAAGTTAGAGATGTTGTAAGTCACCATGTGGGTGTGGGAATCAAACCCAGGTCCTCTAGAAGAGCAGTCAGGTGCTCCAAATTGCTGAGCTATCTCTCCAGGAATATACCAATTTTAAACACTAAACACAAAGCAAAGGACTGTTTACATTCAAAAAGTAAGTATGGTATAGTCAAAAAACATTTCTATGATATTTTAAAGTCTCATCCCAGGAAAAGTAGTTTAAACATCACATCATCACCTGCTATATACTAAGTACTACCTTAATTGTGTAACACAAATTTTTCTCTTCTTTGGAGACAGTCTCATTATGTTGCCCAGGCTAACCTCTTGATCCTCCCAGCTGAAGGTAAAGATGCTCCCCCTCATCACCCAACCTGTCATACATTTTCTTTCTATTCACAGAAATATCCATAAAGGATGCAGGTAAGCCCCTATTTTTGGAGATGAGTATCTACTAAATAATGGCAATGAAAACTGTCATAAGCTTCAGATAACTAATTAGTGGTGAGAAGTGTCTGTACTAGATTCTGTTTCATTTTATCATTCACAGTTCTATTTCATGCTATAGTATTACATACAGCTCTCATGGGTAGAGACATATTAGTATAAAGCTATGAGAAGGAAGGGCTTAAGAACCTCTTAACACACAGCCTCACTATTTTCTCAAATATATTTCATAATCCATAGCTCCAACTTCAAAGATTATAGGATTAGCAGAATCCCAAAAAGGAGAACTGAAAAGCCAGTGAACTAAAAAGCCAGTGATTCTGAAAAAAAAAAAAAGCCTAATTATACTCTTCTGCTGGCTTTCTGGATCCTATTCCTCATACTGGGTCACCTTGCCCAGTCTTAATACAAGGGGAGATACTTAGTCTTACTGCAACTTGATA